TTAAATGTACATACAATATCCACATGATACTTTTAAAATAATATTACATAATAGAGATGGAAAGCACACTCAACTTTTCTCTTTCCTTTCTTAGGCTGAACAGTACCAGAAGAAAAACCGCAAGATGCTGGTCATTTTAATTCTCTTTGTCATAGTTGTTGTTCTAATACTTATTCTGTTCGGGACAAAGTTTAGATGAATAATTCCATGGCCTCTAGGAGGGATCTACCTGTATGTATGAGAGAAACTGATGTGTGTGTGAAGAAGGTTTAGAAGGTGCTTCCGTTTTAAAATACTACACCACAAAGTGAAGATAAGGACGCCCCCTGCTGACCAACAAGTGCAGTGTGTGGAGACATTTGTGTGTTTATTTCTGTTGTGAGAGGCAGCGTTAGTACTCGGGTTCCTTTCAGAGGGCCATTTTTCTTCATTTCCCCGCACAAGCACAGTAATTAGGAGTTTGGATGTGATATGGCAGCATGTTCATCCCAACTGCCCTTGTCATCTAATTTAAAGAGTAAACGGGAAGATGATGGGAAAGATTAGGAATCCTCGGAAGATAATCATATATGCTTGGGTGAATTTCTTCAAAATAATGTCCAGGTCATATTTTTTTGCTAGTTTCCCTCTCAACTCTCATTACTGTAATGCAGAATTAAATTATTTAAATCAAAAGTACAGTTGCAGTATTACAGTATTTGTTTACTGTATAATAGTGGTACAAATCTAATGGGAATCACCATTGAGAATAATGGAAAGTAAATTAGAATATGTTAAAGTAAATGAGACTTTAGGGGGGAATGGGCATGGTCATGAAAATAATTTCATGATGCATATTCTTTATATATATATATATTCATTTGAATATGGGGTTAAATGTCACCTGAACGTGTTTCCTAAAGATTCACCCACTTTCTTGGTTTCAGTCAGCATCAGTAGTGAGCATCTACAGTGAAACCTGTCATAAGCTGCCTTTGAATCAGACCTTGCTTGTAAGGTTAGGATGTGTGTGTTCGATGCAAGCCCAAGATGACATTATAAACTGTTTTCCTGTCATTTAATCTGGAATTTTTTGCCGTGTGTGTGTTTGAGAGGAGAAGCACTGACACTCCAGTCAACCATGAAGGAAACTGAGGAATGAGGAACATATATTCAAAGCATTTACCATGTTCAGTTTTTATTGTTTTGTTTTTTTATATGTGGTCAAATGAAAATCATTGGGATTATGACGGGTTGAATGAACTGAATGTTACATTGTCCATTATGAGCGTCCATTACTGAGAGTTAGTTCCTCTGCTCACATCAGCGGAGGCGTTTAATGCACCATCATGTGTTTATCTACGTTTTAATGACAGTGCTGTTGTTATGAAATCAGTATAATTTCAGTGAAAAGCGGGAGTGATTCATCAAGATTTTTTGATTCACTCCGTTCCTTGCCTTAAAGAGTGAACATTTGTGTGCTGAACTTGGATGTTTTTAAAGCTTTCCTTGTCCATGTTTCATTGGCTGGTGTTGTCACTACTGTATCCTTCAGTCTGACCTTTGAACTTAAACTGAACTTTGACCTTCAGTCTCAGACTGAAGCTCAGTGGGGTCGGCTGACTGACTGTATAACTGCTGTTCCCTGTACAAGATGAAATTATTTATTTTAGATGCAAAGACGTGTACAGAGTTTATGGAGTTCTATTGTTGTCCGTTGGTAGTCCAAAGTCCTTTCATTTCTTTGTTTGTTGTGATGATGATTTACTTTCTAAAATCAATTCCTGTTGGCTTTTGTGAAGGGTAATTGCACCACTACTGTATGATGGGGTAAAATCATGTTGTTGACCATATTATTTTATAAATACAGAGACAGTTTATTCTTATGTTTTTTTAGAAGGTTTGAAAAAATATAACTGCCCATTCAAGGCTTAAATCCATTTCAAGTGATTTACTCCATGGTTTTGTCGTGAAACCCCGTGTGAATATAATATTTTTCTGCCATTACGGTACTACTGTATGCTATATGAACCTTCTGTAAACGCTGAACAGGTTTCTAATGAAATTAAAACAAATATATATATATATAAAGATGCAGGTTGTGTGGTATTTTATAAATGCATTAATATATGAATATTTAAGTTATTAACAAATGGTACTATGGCAGGCCTTTTCACACAACTGAAATGTTAACTCAATAAATCTGATCAAAACTGCTGTTGTACACAATCTACAACATGCCTTCTGTCATCTGATAACTTCTTCAGCAAAGTAAAATGTATCATGAAAATATAATCTTACTAAGACATTTTTGGGAGATATAGTGGCAACTAATATTTATATGCATTTAATGTAAGTCTGCTAAGCTGTTATAAAACTGTCATTGATTTACATTACAAGCTATTGTAATCTCATCTCTCTTTTTTGGACATAAATAACAACTGCACCCAATAGCATTTTTTTTTTTTGCTTAGTTTGGGCCTCTCACATCATACTATATGAGCCATAAATCTGATATATCAAATATAATACAATATATATATATATTTTTTTTTTAATTGTCTAAAAGTTAAATTTTTTTTTGATTTTTCAGACTTTGATTTCATAGGGTTAAATCGCATGTGGTCATAGTTACAAATGTGTTCACGTCTCTTGCTATGTGATAAAACATGATGTGGTGCTTAGATACATGAATTATTACCATATTCATGCACCATTTGCACTCCAAGATTCTTCAAGTAATGTTATTACAGTAATACGCTTTGGCGTTTTATAAGCCCTCTCTTGGTCGAAAACCTGAAATAAATATCTAGATTTAAATAGGGCTGTAAGAATGACAACATATCCACGTGTTCTAGTCTACTAATAATAAATTATTATAATTAATAATTAATTTTTGTGGTAATAAAAATATATGTAGGTTAAGTGAACAATAGCCTTTACATTTACTTAAAATACATATATAATAGCAATGAGGAAATAATAATTAGTTCAAATAAAGTATCAAAAGCAAAAAATCATATGGTTTTATTGAACAAAACTGTTAAAATACTGTATTATAATGTAATAGAGCCACTGATCTATATATAATTATAAAATAATATAATAGAATCTCTATTATAGATCAGTGAATAGAGCTAATGTACAGTACGCATTACACCAAAGGCCTGCAGGGGGCGCCAACGGCCTGACGAATGTTTTTACACATTACTGTGCGATCTAATACTTGTTTAATATTTACCAAGCATCATTTAATTCAAATGTCCACTTAATCTTTAATATTTGGCCATTTCTTTACGACA